TTCCTTCTGGTTCAAGGCAAGGACAGACAGTAAGTGATAACCCAGCTTGGGCTGCTAAAGAAACACAGATGATGTCATCAGCCTAAACTACAGCCCCCATTTTCTCTATTCTGTTTGCCCACAGACCAATCATCAAAAACCCATCATATATTCATTTCAAAAAGACTGGAATTTTAGAAGCATAATTCAATAATGAAAGTGGTGATATAGTACTGACCAGTAATAGCTCACTGAGGAAGTTATGTTGCTCTGAAAGGTAGCTATGTAATTTTCTGTTCAAAATTCCATCAGATGGAGCTTTGCACCTTTTAGAAGGAAGGTTCCTTTACAAATATTTAACTTACAGGACTCCTGAGCTCTGAACTCCTAAGTCTTCTGCATTCTAGGAGGCCTGGGAACATTGCTACACTGCAATATTAATCTGGGTTGGCAGTTTTAAGGCCATGGGGATGAAAAGAGAGAAGGACTCTTATTCTGTTATGACAGATCTGGAGTATGAATACAGAGCCTTTGTATGGCAGAGAGCTTGAAAAATGTTCCTTTGGCATTTTGCAAGAGCTGTTTATGGAGCAAAATACCACTTCTGTGGAGGGAAAGGCATCAAGGGAAGAGTGAGCAGTCTGAATTTACAGCACTCCAGCGTGTGCTGGTCATGGAGCAGGGCAGGGAGCTCGGCACAGTGACTCTTTCTCAGCTTCTTTCCGCAGCTGAGGCTGCTGCCTGACTTTCAGTGTCTTGCACCCGTGCAGAGTGTATGAAATACCAGCCGTACAAGCTATCTGCTCCCTAGCTATGCAGGCATAATGTAACAATGCAGGATGTGATGCCTTGTACGGGCATTAGCTTTAGTGTACTTAGTATTTTTTGCCTGTCTGAAAATGTGCAGAAAGAATTGTAAAAGAAATTAATACAAACCAGATTAAACTTCAGATCTGTTCCATCTAACAAGGTAACTGGTTCAGCTGTTCCACAGAGCAGGGGACAGTGGTTTCAGGGGAAGGGACACACTCTAGCCAATATTAAACCAAAATTATTGGTAACATTTTCTGCACCAGTATTTCCCTATTCTCTCCTGCCTTCACCTGCCTAGCTGCCATTGGTATTAATAGAAGATATTTAGTTCCACTTTGCCACCATGCAGTGAAATATGAAAGTTAATAACCATCAAAGTATTTATCATAATTTTAAAAATAGTTATTTTCTTAGATCTTAAAATCTCTGTCAACTAAGTAACAAATTCTTCACTGTTTTAAGTCCACTACAGAAAACTTCTTTTAGTTCAAAGAATTTTCTTGTAATCATTCTCTTGGGTGGGTAAGGAAGGCTTTGCCTCAGGTGAACTTCCAAGAACTTTCTCTCCTTCAAAAGGGCTGTGTCCCAGAAAAGCAGAGTGCAGGCTCAGCTGTGAATGTGCACTGACCTTTGAGATCATCCCTTGGTTGTGCCCGTGCTGCCATGCCAGAGCTGGGTGCCCACACTTCAGGAATGCCCTGCACCACCTACAGAGGGAATTCCACTCCACAGGTGGTGTTACAAAGGACAAAAGAAAGGACAGCTTTGGCCCACAGCTGAGTCTGAGCAGTAACAAAGGGGCTCTTCCTTGTTTCCTTGTCACTCCCTAACCCCATTCTGCAACTACAACAATGGAGATAATCAGTTCACAATCAAAGAGGGTTTAATTTCCAGTGAGAGAGTAATTTGAGACATTATGGCTAATTTCTACCAGTATAAAAAGAGAAAAAGGTTCTTAAAGCCAGAAAGTAAAATTTTGCACTCAGACATGAATTAATTCATTGGATCAGATTTAGTCCTTGAATTTGCTGTTGAAAGTTCAACAATGTCAAAGAAAACTTTTTCTAAGGCTGGACTTTCACCCTATTAAGTGCATCTCCCATCTGAGAGTTGCACCTGGCACAGAGACTACACCAGCTGGCAGTACAGTTTAATACCTATGAATGACTAAACACTGTACTCCAGTTAATAATTGCAGGACTGCTCCAAAGCCCATCAAAATTAATTGGAGTTTTTCCTCTGGCACATTGCTGTGCTTGGAATCAGTCTCATTCCATGGAACACAGTCATTGCCAGGCCAGAGACTGTTAACTCTGTAACATTTTTACACTGATATGCATAACTATTTTTTCTACTAACATTTCTTTTCAGTTGATAATTCCAATTACATATTCAGTGATCTGAGCTCTGTTCTAAACTGGATTTAAAGTCATGTGCAAACCAGTGCTCATGTGCTTAAAAAAAGGTGCATTATACTATTGCAATAAAACATGATGAAATAGCCAAGATATCAGGAAGGGACAGGCTTAATTTTAAGTGAGTGATTATCTTATCACCACTGACCATATCATAAAGTGTTCTTGAGCTCAGAAAAATATCTCTACGTTTAAATTGTTTCTTATTTGAAGTGCTTTAGCAGCTGTCCACACTTTTTTAAAGTGACATCTCAGCAGAAGATGAGATCACAGTTTGCTCTATCTACATGGGGAGCTTCCAGAGATGTACAACAGGATTGTGTTCATTGCCTAAGAGGGGGAACAATGAAGTCTAATTGGGGTACTCTGGGGCACAGGGTGCTGGATGCTTGACTCATTTTGAGCTTCTGCCCTGAAAATTTAGTTGTGCCCAGCTGCCCTATATCCATGCACCTTTGATTTGGTAATGTGATCAATGTGGATGGGAAATTGAGGGCAACACTGTATACAATTAAGTGTCTTTCAAAAGGCATTGAGCAAGTTCATCTACTGACCTCACACAAGCTGAAGGCACACGATTCCCTCCTTGCTTTCCACTGAGCTTTACACCTATCCCTGCATTGCAGGATGGCACACTCAAGACATGGAAAAATGGGACTTTTGCTACCATTCTGATTACACTGGAAGAGATGCAGAAGTGATTTCATGTATTTGGGTCTTTTAAAATACTGCTATAAACCAGAAACTAAGTTAATGCTTCTGCAAGACTGCGTGATATTCACATATTACCCAGGTTAGGGTTTGATACCAACAGAGCAGACCTACAGGTCTAGCTTTGTTCTGCTCTCTGTGTAGCATTAGTTCAAGCAGCTGCCAAGGCCACAACTTTACTACAAGTAACTTGTCTAGATGTTGGTCTAATGACTGCACACTTTAGAGTGGTTTAGTGCTTGGTGGGAAGTGATCCTTTCTTTTCAGCATGGCAGGAATTCTTTATGCCTTTATAGCAAGAAAAATAGATTACTGGACATGTATATGTCCTAATTTTCATGTAATATTGATACATTTTTTAGAAGAAATTTATTGCCCAAGTTGTCATTCTTTGTTTTCAGCTGTACTGGTGCTTGTTGGCGAAGCAAGGCTCTAACCCCACTCCTGCCAGGAGCTGTTCACCCTGGTTAGGCCACAGATCTATTAGAAATGCCACTGACAGCTGCAACTTAAGGCTTACATTGTTTCTGTTTAAATAGCATTCAGTTACAAAATTCTGTGAAGACAAGCCGTGTCTCCTGAAGTCCGTGTTTTAAACTCATTTTGTTTTGCGCTCTCATCTCCAAGACATTTTGCAAAGAGCAGTGAATGTCTCTGGAGATCAAACACTACAGATTAATGTGCCATGCACCTCTAGAAAGCAATAATTGCTTCACTACACCCCAAGAGATGAGGATGTTTAGCACCTCTGAAAAAAAGACCTTTTAAATGTGTGACTACATAAAGGCTTAAGAATAATTTAGTGCTTCTGACACTCCCACTAAGCCCTTAATACCCAACTAGATCTGACCTTTATGCTTCCATTTTAAGCACTGAGGTCTGAAAGTTTTGTACTGCAAAAGTGGTTTAGTTTGCAACATTGATAAACTTTAGGAGATCTACTTTAACTTGTACTTGCAAAATTGCCCAAATTCATGGAAGGTGCCCCAAAATATAAGGAATTATATTGAGAAATCATATTTTAATTAATTGTCACAGGTTTTAATCTCATCTGTACCAACCTCTAGTGGCTCATTATAAAAGGAGTGAGGATTTAAATTTTAAAAAGCAGGTTTTAAGAAAGGGCCCATCCATCTGCACTGGGTTTCAGATAAGCAAAACCCCATATTTCCACTGTGAAGTCACACTGTGCCTGTTAAAAATATGCAGATTGGAAGAAAAAATTATCATTTAGGAAACACATTTAAACATTAGCATTGTTGTTTAGCATAGATACATTTATGGTTATTGCTCTGGATTAATCTGAAATTTAACAGGCTTTTAATGGCTTCATTTTGGAAATGGTTCTGCCTGAAGGAACAGCTATATATGTATAGTTCCTCTGTACAGCTCATGTACAAAAATTAACAAACAGCAGATTCACAGTATCAGCAGAACAGTCATCATTCCATGGCTGCAATGATGCTGTACCATCCTTACATCCTTAGCTCTTCCATACAAAGCTGGAATAAACACATTAGAGTTTTATGTGCCCCCATCTGAATTCATGTGCTGATCGACAGGAAAAGGAGACCTGAAGTTCTGCCTCAAGCCCTGTTTGCAAATCCAGAAGAATCCATCCTACTCAGCTCAGCAAGCACAAGTGGATTCAGTGAGCCCGACTGGGCTCCCATAACCCAGCACAGAACTGCTCTGCAGACACATCCAACCTGGAGTGCACCACACAGAGCATTCCCAGGCTGCTGCCCTCAAACACCAGCCTGCCCATGCCCCCGGGGCAACAGCTCACTCAGGCATGGACAGCTTTGAGCCTGGCAGAGGGCAGCAACAGTTCCAGTTTTCTGGCTGAATAGGCCAACACAGCCAGGTTTTGTGATTACCCTAATTTTTCAAAACACCACAGCAACTTGGAATCTCTCTGTGCTGAAATGAAATTATTACTGATTTCAAAGAAAGGGTTACATCCTCCTGTTGTAGGGAGAGAAGGACTGGAATATCTGAAAAGGTAGCACCAAGTCAGTAATAAAAATGCAAAGTTCAGTATGATGTGGCTTTTAGGCTTCATTTAAGCTTTTTGAGATATTTTCTGGGGCAGTTAGGAACATTCCTTCCACACACAAACAATAAGTCTACTGTTAGGGTTTAGTTTTGAATCTAATATAATTCATTATCATTGAATATATCTATTACAGTAGCACCTTGATTATTGTACAGCTTTAAACACAAGACATTGTCCCTATTTCATGTTATCTGTAAGGAAACTGTGAACTTTATATCCTAAAAGTAAAAAAGACAAAAATGGTTATCTGCTCATGAATGACAAATTCTTTAGTGCATTCATTCCAGTCTGAAACCCTTTGTCTCCTTAAAGCATACCACGTAGTCCCCAAGCTCAGAGCAATTAACCCCCATCCTCCTAAGTATCATGTTACAAAACAAACAGTACTGTGTTAATTGGAACCCCATAGAAATGGTAATGCAGTACCTTTTTTCTTTGAGTGTGATAAAACCCCTTAAAAGATGCAACTCGGCATCAATAACTTTAGGGAATACACTACATACATTAAATAGAGGTAAGTTGAGTCCAGAGTCATTTGCTTCTTCATTCAACCTCAGGAGTGGTGGGGGTTTCTTCAAGCAGCACCATCAACCCTCTGTGCCCTCCTTAGCCCGGCCCAGATTCACAGTAAGGAAAGCAACAACAGCGGTGGGAAGATGAACTGAGCAAGAGTCACACTCCAGGCTGTTCTGTAAAAATCCATGGGGTCAGGGCAATGTTCCCATGCTGACGTGGCCTATATGTGACAGACGTGTGTGTGTGAGCAGTGTCAGTCCTCATCCCTGCATGCTCCAACCTGCAGCAGTCAGTGCTTTGTTCAACAAGGCTGGAGGACTGCTGATGCAAGGTTAAGTTCTTGTTTTTCTTCATTCAGCAATTAACCAGATTGCTGTTGTCTGTCTTTGATTTAATTTTACAATCCTCAAATGTTTAAAGAACTGCTGTCTGAAGCACCTGCTTCTGAAATACTCTCGTGTATTTTCGCTTTCCTCTTTTATACTTTTCCATTCTCTGTTGCAGTACCATGATTCTCCCTGCTCTGGTTTTCTTGCATTTTCCTTCAGAGGCAAAATTACAGTGATCCTGATGCAGTTTGGGCACAGCCACAAATAGTCTGTTTGTCCTTCCTCTCTCTATCTCATGGTTAGAAAAGCATCATTGTGCACACAGTTCTGTTGATTTCAGTGGATGAATCCAGTTCATCCATCATGTTAGGCAGTCAAAAAAACCCAACAAAAAAACTCAAACAAAAGAAATTGTCTAAATCCCAAACAGGCATCTTTGGAATCAGTAGTGCAAAATGTTTGCGGATTTCTTTTCCTTGACCTACTGCAATAATCTCTCAATCTTCAAGTCTTTCCTAAAATGGTGGATCTGTAAAAATAAAACATAAGGACAGTTTTTTAAAAAAGCAAATTTAAAGGTTTGGACTGTTTTAATCACTCTCTTCATATTGTCATTTTTATCAAACCATTTCACATCTCTTAAAAGAGTTGTAAACTGTTGGAAGGTCCAGTTGACCTGGAGTATTCTTCATCTGCATCAGGCTTGTGCATGGGTAGAGGAAGCTGAGGGTATTCTTTACAGGGAGGATAATTTGAGATTAAAATGAGCTTTTATCACTGCAGCCTTAGCTCTGCAAATTTGTTTTAAATGGAAGAGACCTCACTGAGGGGTTACAGCTTAAACACCTGCACTTCACAAGATTTCACAAAGTATCAGAGCAGCTGTTTGGAGGTATTTTAGAAATGAGCTGATAAAATGTGAGTTTACCTTAAGGATTTCCACCTGTCTTTTTCTGTCTGGTTCTCTGGACTTTCACTTTCATAGGAAGCCAGATACAAACCTGGAAACAGTAAATATGTGTTATTTCCAATAGCATCAGGAACCCCTATCCCTCTGCATTCCTGTACATCCTTTTGTACCATATAGAAAGAGAAACTGTAAAACTTCATGGTCCCTCAGGTGATCAGTAGGACACTGACGTTTAGCTCACAGGTCTACCTTGCAAAGCTGTTAGTTAATTTTGATGGAACAGTAAAGGAGCCCAGAGTTAAAATATGTTAGCATCACCTTCTCACTACAATATTAAGCAGTTGAATGGTCTCTGGTTTTGCATACAGAGATCTGGGGCCCATTTCCTCCATCACAGCACTGCTACTCAAGAGTTACATGAACTTTAAAAAAGACACAGTGAGAGCTGACACCTAAACACATAAGCTTTCAAAAGCTAAGGATATTCTCATCACATAACACAACTTTATGTTCCTCAATCTTTTTAAAACTTATGGGAACATGGTATCTTAAATGCATATACAATACTGTCAAGGTAAGAGTGAGTTACAGAAACCAGAGAAGGAATGCAGTGAAAGAAAATAAATCTGTTCTTTTGTTCCCTCTGCAAATCCTTATACTGTAGGATGTATTTTATGACACCAAAATGTGTCTAGATTGTAGAGTCTCCTCTGGCAGTGCAATAATATCTCACTGTCTTCACAGAATCCCCGGCTGTAATTTGTGTTCACACACATTTCCTCATTTGACTGTTTGATGATGCTTTTTTTCTTTACTGCTGGAACCATCTCACCATTCAAGTCTGTGCTACAAATGCATTGTCTTTTAATATTCAAGTGTTGACCATTCCTCCACATAATGACAAGCACAGTACAGCTGCATTTCACTGCTGAATCTCCCTCAGATCTCTTCCCACCTTTCATTCAGGGCAGTTCTTTCTACTCTGCACTGCCCCTGGGTGATGGGGGAGGTTTCCTGTGGCTTCTGCAAAAGGTATTTCACAAAAGCAGCATGAATATAGGGGGAGGACATGAGGGAGAAAATCTACATACAATTAGTGGGTTGAGGTCACTCTTTTTTAGTCCAGTAGTCTGAAAACTATACTTTTACCTTGACTTTCATTTTCTGTCCCTTTAGAGCCTAAACCAAGAAGAAATGCCTTCATTCTATCTCCTTTTGATACATATTAATCATATTAATTATTCTATTTTGGCAGACATTCTTAAGATTTAGGCAAGATTTTAGAAGCAGTGCTTTGCTTTCTGAAGTAGTCTATGAAATAAAAGCTGTCTGGTCTGATTACCTTGGATTAGTACAGAAAATTGCCTATGGAATGAAGAAGAAATAAGCCCATCACCAGAATAGCTTCTGGAAAGGTTGCTACAGACAATTCTGTGCGTGACAATGTATAGAGGGGCAGAGACAAACCCTCTCTATACTGAGGGTTATACTGACACAAACCAGTATGAAGTGACACATACTGACATGCTGATACCAAACTGACGTGGACAGAAATGCATAAAAAGACAAGAGAAATAATTTCAGAACAGCTTTCATAGCTACAGCTGAAATGAATAGAAAGCATTTTCTTAAAAATTCTTTTCTGTACATAACATGTCATTGCTGTGGAGGAGGAGGTCAGCTGGGCTCCATGGCCCTGAGCTGTGTTTGCTGAAGAGATGACAGCATTGGTTTGTGAGAGAGATTAGCTGTGGTTCCATCAATCACACAATGAGTGGCTAAGGGACAGCTGACATTCACAGGAGCCCATGACAGCCCTGTGTGGCCTCAATTCATGATTAAAAAAATAAGGCCACAATGGCAGCTTCCTAGACAGTGCCTTACAGAGAAGCTACAGACAAGAGAAAAGCCATCAGGCAGCAGCTTCATGTGCTAGAAGGCTGTGTTTGCAAAAACACATTGATAGACTGGGCATAAACAAGCTGTTTGGCAGGAAAGCCAGGAAACAGCTGGGACAGTGAGAGAGATCACCAAAGCATGGATCAGGGTGTTAATTAGCAGTGATGAAGAGAGACCTTTTCAGTGATGAATGAATGTAGAGTCTTACCATCTTCAGTAAAAATGGGAGCAGTGTGCAAGTAGTGGATGATGTTAGGGTCTTGCTCAAATGGACACTCCACTTGTTTCCATGTTATAAATTCTCCTACTTGCTTAGCCAGTTCCAGGAATTTCTGCAAACATAAAATCATTCCACTCAGATATAGTAATATTACCTCACATTCAGTGTTTGATGGTCTGCACTGAAAATTGCAGGCTAATAGTCTCAGATAGTCCCTCAGCTATCAGAATGGGATAGGTAAAAACATTTTTCAGATCTTACTTCAAAGTTGACATGTCCATTTGGAAGGCGATTAGCACATCCCTCATTCAAAAAATAAATGTCTTTGATCAATAGGCTGAAGAAGGGGATCACAATCTGTGGAGAGAAATGACAATACCATTATCTTTTCAGTTCAGTATTTTCTCTGCATGAAAGAACAACTCAATTGGGAGAGATGAGAATAAAGAAGTATTAACTTTTCAGTGTGCTGTGCACTTGAAAAGCAGTACAGCTACAGGCCAGCAAAAGGGCAGCAGGGTCTAGAGAGACCTTCAGCCACCAGGAGAGTGTGTGCTGAGATGAAAGTGAACTGAACACAATGTTCACTCAGCACAATAACATGACTAAGAAAGTGCTAAAAGCCCCGTTTATTATCAACAACATCACTGTCTGATGACAACATCAGACAGCAAAGAGCAAAATAACACTGCAGAACTCTTCCCTTTCCTGTTGTGTTCTTATAAGCAGAGATGTTGAACACAAAAATTGATCTGTTTAAACACAGGTGGGAACCAAAGAACCAAGGACAAAGAAAGACAGCATAAAACTTGGTGAGCAAGGACTTGTCTGCAAACAGTTAATCAGGAGCTGTTTCATTTTCAACACCTCCATGCACAGCTACCTCTTGAGGCATGTAATTTCCTTCCTGGTGCCTGATTAGTACAACCTGCTTCTCCAAATTAACCTGCAGACAACAGGATTGAAAATATTAAGCTGGTTGACAGGAAACTGCTAACAGTAGCCAGAGAGACCGCTACAGTTCTCAAAACTAGCCCTGACCATCATCCAGGGCAGAGTGGCATAGCAGTGACCCAAGCCTTCCCCCATACCCATCAGAGTTGGGTCATAATTTGCTATAAAAGAAGTCTGGGTAGGACTCTTGAAATTGATGGAATTACAAGCAGGGATAATAAATTTTATGCCAGATGTTCTACAGCAGGAAGCAGTAGCAGCGCTCCTGAAGTGCATCCTCAACCTCAGCACAGATCCAGAGTGAAGCAGACTCTCTCAGGGTCCTTTGTCTCACAGCTCAAAGGGAAGAGGAAGATAACACAAAGGACCAGTCCATGAAGGCTGACAGTCAAACCTCAGTCTGTCCCCCTCTCCAGCAGTGACACTGGGGCAGCAAAAGGCTGCCTGGGGAGTTTGAGCTGAAGGTCAGCAGCTGCCCCTGTGAGCATTTTCCTGTGGCAGCAATGTCTGTCTTTTAAACCACCAAGTACAAACTTAACCAGCATGAACACAAATGCAAACACACTGCATGGCAGTGCCCAGATGTTTCCACTGCTCTGTTTGTATATTAACTGAGCTGGAGCTTGTTAAGCAGCACCAAAGCTAAAGAGCCCTCATTATAAGCAAGAACAGCCAAGACAGAAGTCCTTTAGTTAAGTATTTAATGTTATTCCATCTCATTAACGTTATTCCACCTCATGCTGTACATCAGCTGTAACAGGATATGAAATGGACCCAGAGCAGGATTGGCAGCTGTTATTTTCCAGTCTACATGGATGCTACAATGCTGTGATGCTGCAATGAGGGTGAACAAGCCATAGAAGTGAAAACACTGAGGCAAGGAGTCCACAAGCTACTGCCAGTGTGTGTTGTGAAAATGGAAGCCAATTTCTGTTCTAGCTAAATTACCACATCCAGTAAACTTTTAAAGATCTGCATTCTGCTGGCTTTCTCATGGGACAGCCACAGATAAACTCTGTGATGTCACTGCAAACAGCCATAAAAAAGCCTGGACTGATGCCCCAAGAGCCACTGGATACTTATCCTGATACATTCCACTGATAAAAATCAGGAATGAAAACAAAGCACAGCCTTATCCTCCCAAAATGCTGAGCCCTCCTATTAGGATCAGATGGAACAATTTCTAGTCAAACTGAGCTAAATGTGTTTCAGGATTTATTTTCATATTACCCAAACTAGATCATCAACCTGGAGTAAAGAATACAACTCACTCTGTGTTGTTTGTTTTCTACCAAAAATGATGATGACTCTGTAACCAGTGTGGTCTCAAAAGGTGGGAATATACAGAGACTTGGAGCCAGACACAGATCCCCAGCTAGAAATCACTGCCAGGTTCTGTCTACATTTTTGTTTTTTGCAGGCAGATGTGAGCTTGTTCTGTCTGCACCACTGCCTGGGAGAAAGGTCAGCACCATTAGTGGTACTAAACATGAAGGAAAAGCCTTGCTGAGAGGAAAGGTACACAAATGTGGGCTGGATGCCAAGGTAATACAGCTACAGAGCCCCCAGTCAGCTCAGAACATGGCAGAGCTCATTCTCATCCCATCCAAAAGGTGCTAAAAGACATACCCAAGGATACCAAATCTCTGCACATTTCCATGGAATTTCTGTATTTTGGTCATCATTTATTTTCCCAATAAAAATATATTACCCTGTATGTTTTGCTTTCCAAATTTCTGTAGGAAAAACAACAAAAGTGGTTGCAATTATACACTAACATTGGCTTCACTCCAGGCACTTTGCTAGCATAAAACGTGGGTTGGTGCCAGAAACTCATATTTCTCTCCATTTTTATCCCCCTTCCATGCCATCCAACCCACCCACATGCTGAAGGACAATTGCCTCCTGCAGAAAGAAGACAGTTAATGAGATCTGACTTGTTCTTGCTCCACAGTATCAGACAGCAACACACAGTGCTGTGCTGTACACTCCCAACGTTTCAAAGCCAGAGCTATGCCATGAGTACAATGCAGAGTTTCCCAGTGGAATGACTTCATTTTGGAGCTGTCACAGGTCATTTGACTGCACAGACAAAACCAGACTTGCTTACTAACCAGTACACCCCTCTGCAAGCACAATTCAGTTTGAAGATAAAAATTTTCTTCAGAGTGAGCTTTGCTATGAGTTTGCCAAGAAACAATGTAACATCTGTCAAAAAGAAGTCATCATGGTTTTTTTGGATGTGTTCAAGTTCGTTAAAACAAATAAATTATGGTCTTGCTTATAAAAAGAAACAAAATTCCTTAATCCTACAGAAAGCATTACATGATCTGCTGTATTTGACACTGTAAAATATGAGCAGCTACCAAATCATATCCTGGAGCATTTTCCTCAACTGATGTTGTCTGCACAAGGAAAACAGAATATGGGCTTTTTCTGATGTAAAATAGATTCCTTTCAGCCTAATAACCTCTCTGCCATCAGTATTAACCAGCTGGGGGTAGAGATCTGACAGAGATTGCTAACTTCACAGGAAATTAAGTCAAACAATAAAGCAACTGGTTTGAATATCTATGACGGTTGCAGAAGAGCTAAACTGCAAAAGCATCTCAGACTGACAGGTCCTTACTGCAGTGTGTGAGAGTTGAAAGAATTGCTTTTCCAGTCACACACATCCAAATGATCCCTCCTTTGCATAGAGAAGTGCTTTTCAGTGCACTCCCATTGCAGCTGAGTCAGCCTGCCACCAGATGCTGATCTCATTTCACTGTAAATGCTGTGAGATTCCATTAGCTTCAGCAGATTTACATCAAATTTACAGGGGTGTGAGATTAGCATCTGGCTGGGCTCCTCTAGTGAATGAATACTAAATTCCATATTGTGCTTGTTCATGCAGCATCTACTTTAGCTCTGCCATGCTTAGTGCAGAGATTTCCCATTTATGACTATGGGCAATTGCAGTGTAAAACACAAACCTTTTTTCACATACCAAAAAATAAAGAATTGAGTGGAGGAATAAGAAAATTAACAAGAAACATACTGGGGCACAAACCAGGAGGATCCTACACTCTAACATCTTGTCAATCTGATTTTTGCAGCATCAGTGACATGTCAGAAAGCTCCACATCTGCCATGAACACTTGATAAAACACTTCAGCTCTTGCTCACTGAGATGGCAGCAACAACCACATGAAATGAAAATTCACAAGGACAGAAAATCACCCCAAATTTGCTGCAATGGATTTAGACTAGACTCCCTTGGAGGACTTGTGATAAATCATCTTTCCCTAATGCAAATGGAGATCCACCTCGCCTCCACTGCTGTGCCCTTTGCTCTCCATCTCACCTCACACATCACACAATGGGGGCTTCTGTGCCAGAGCCTGGGGCACAGTTTAACAAAGCACAGCTCCACCTGCCTCTGCCAGGCTCCTGCTCCATCACCAAAATAAAAGTCTTTTCAGTCTGGAATGCCTGTTCCATCAGGTTTATCAATCTAAACAGTGTGAATTTTCCAGGGACATTTGCAATAAACTTCTCCATGGTGTGTGTCCTGCCCTCTCTAACCCTCCCAATGTCTGACAGCAAGTCCACAAGGATTTGCTTTCATCCTATCCAGACTCTTTCAATCACTTTTCCCCCCCCCATATTTTACTTTTCTTGAAGCACACAGGCCTTGCACCGGTGACCTATGGAAGGGAGGAGAGCATCTGCATCGTGTTGGAGCCACTGATTCCCAGTAGAAATGCACCCCACTGTCACCACATTTCTCTTCATAGAGAAAAGCAATGCACACTTCTTCCCAAGAATATTTCTGGGTTTCACGTTTTCTGAGCCTCAGAGAGAGAAAAAACAATTCTTATCTCATTTACGGTGCCCGTGTTTGTGCACAAATGGAATGCATTGTAGAAGGTTGTTTACCTGAAGGGAATTGATAATTGGATTCTGGTGTGTTTTGATTCACTGACCACTTGAATCCAGGTGTGTGTGTTGGGACTGTCAGCTGACAGTCACGAGATGCTGTGCAGTGGAGTGCTTGGCAGATTCAGTTTAGATGTAATGAAATATAATGTAATATAGTATAATAAAGTAATTAATTAGCCTTCTGATAAGATAGAGTCCTCCTCATCATTTCTCCCTTCATTGGGGTTTCCCTGCAAACCCTATACCCAGCCCTGTGGGGAGGGATGGGCTGTGCCCACACCCACCTTCTCCCTGTTGCTGTGAGCAGTGAGGGACCTGTGGGCAGCCCCACGCAGCGCTGTCCGGTAGTTGTAGAAGTTTCCTGTAGGGTCCATCTGGTGCTACATGCACAAAACAACACAGGTGGTTAGAAAATAGCCTGGGCCCTCTAAAGACAATTTTACACTCAGTTGTAGCAAACCATGAACAGAGGCTCCACCTTCAAACTGTACATTTCAAAATCCACATGCCTGCAGAGCCCCAAGGATGCAATGAGAGGTCTACAGCCCATGGCTGTTTATACTTTTGATATTTCTACTGACAGCTTACTGAGCTTTTATGTGAAGAATAGGCACTGCACATTCTGTGTGTGCCAAATCCTGGAATTCTCAATGAAAAATATTGTGGGGTCTTCACACTCAACATCCAAGGTATAGATTGGGAGCTTTACATTCAGCATTGTGCCCATGGCCAAACAAAACATGTATTAGTAGAAGCACTGTGGTGTGCATATAGGTTCATACTTTGGGGTTATTTTAATTCCTCTTATTTATTTGAGTACTCTGAATTCTCTCTACATATTATCAGCTTTACACCCTCCTCACTACACCTGGGGTATTTCAGCTTGGAATGAGGCTCTCTGTGTCTGAAATGCGTCTCCACATATCTCACACCTGGATAACAATGTAAAATTCCCAAACAAAAATATCCTGAATATAATTAAAGCAGTGCATCAGGAGTTAATTTTGTTTTTTACCTCCAGAATGAAAAATTTGGCTGTTTTCACTTTTGACCAAGTCTTCTTTAGCCTGGAAACTGGACTCATATTCATTCCAGCTATGAGTGAGAGAGAAAAAAACAGAGCCATTGATAAGAGCTGGGTTTGCTTTTTCAGCTGTGACAGCTGATGGAGGACCTGGTTAGAAGCTGTACTTACAAATGATTGCCATCAGTGAATTAAAATTCCCTATGTTAAAGCACTCTCGGGCAACGTCGATGAAGAATTCGATGACTTGTGCTCGCTGTTTCTTTTTTGCAGGCTGTAAATTAAAATAAATGAGTCTCTGTAATGAGCATATGCAGAACTGGAGGTCATCCTAAGCATTTGTTCCATGCATAGTGTAGCTTCATGCACAGCCTGGGCCATCTGCTTTCAGTCACTGGCCCTAATTCTGTTCCAGCAATCCAGGGGATGCTGGTGACTGGCAGGCCCTGAAATCAAAGCTTTCACTGCAGTGACACAGAAGAAATTCACAGCAATTCCCAGCCCCAGTGACTGTCTCAGTGCATGGGTTCATCAGACTTCCCCAAGGGCAGGATTTCCCACCCCTGTACCAGCAGCATCTTTGTCTCAGAAAAAGCTTGTTTCATTGCATTAATCCCTTTCCCCTCTCCTATCCCTTTAGCAATAGGCCAGACCAAATGAAAGCATTTTAAATACACATTTTAATTCGACTGGAATCACCCTAACTTGTGATTCCAAAGATGATCTTCAAATGGCAATTCTTATGTGTCACAGGCTATCTAGGCTCTTTCAACTATTAGTATTCCTCCCTTTCATTCCCTTTCCAAAGAGAAAAACATGAATTTCATTTTGATGGGATGAAGTTAAGCAAACTAAAACCACTACAAGTTAAGAAACAACAGCCACAGCCACACTAATGGGCAGCAGGACAGAGAGCTGTGCAGTGGGAATTCACACACACAGCAGATCTTTGGGATGACAGATAACAAATAGGGCTCTGCTAGAATCTTTGCTGGCAGAAATCTCACAGGATAACTCAAGGCATTATTTTCCTCTCTTTTTCCCTGCAGGGTTCATTATTCCACACTGTGCTCCTACTACATCAAGAGAACAGTGCATTCCCCTGTGTGCCACCACCTCTGTTTTGCAATATGTTTGTCATTTATCAGGTCTCTTCTGCAAGTGCAACACTACTAAAACTTACCATCAGATGCTTAGCTGGGTCATAAGAAATAAATCTCCAGGATTGCTTATTAATATAAAATCTCAGCGTGGTACTTCAGGTGTGTGGTAAAACGTGGCACATACTTGTAACTTACCATGCAAATTTCTGTTGCTACCAGGTAGCAGAGTCTATTGAACCATTTCACATAGGCCTCAAGGTTACTTGTCTTCTTCTGCTCACTGAAACAAGTCTGGGGGGAAAAAAGCACAGAAAATATAACTGTGTTCCAGTCAGTGACCTGATCACTAAGATAAATACTGCACAAAGGTAATTACTGGCCACATCTCTCTCTTGCTCATGGAAGACTGTGCATTTAAGGGCCCCCTTTAAAAATCCTGTGTGTGTCACACTGCACAATTCACACTGATGTCCAGAAAACAGCCCCATTTTGCCTGCAGCAAGTGTTCACTGAGAGCCTGCACTGGCCCTTGTTCACTGGGATACAAACAGCTGAGGCATTGCAGGATTCTGACATCAACAAGGACGTGCAGACAAAATAAGACAGGCACAGTCTTCCACAGCAAGCTCTGTTTGTGACTTTGATTCCAGGATTTCCTCGACCTCAGTAAATAAAATCCCCCACAGCCCTTTTCTGCAGGGGAGGGATCAGAATTTAGTGAAGTGTACAACAGATAAACAAGAGAAAACACAGTTCTAGTTGATTTTTTTGTGGAAAACCCCACTATTTTCCTTGGTGAGTTTTCAGAGAAACAGGCTCTTAGCATCCAGCTCTGCCTGGATGGCTGTGTTTGAACAGGTCGCTCCCATGCCAGAGGCACTTCACTGGTAAGAGCCATTACAAGAAGCATATTTTTCACTTATTTATATAAAACTTAACATAAATTCCCATAACTGATACAGGCTATGTGAGCAGATACTTGGCTGAATTTTTCCAGTTCCTTTGTCATCAACAGAAAATTTGACTTCAGAGGAGTGATAGGGCAGTTCACACAGCCTGAATTGTAAGAATTCAAGTGCTTTGCCCAGCTTTAAACTCTTAGACAATCCATCTAGGACACTCAGCTCTCTAAAGTTCAAGAGATTTGTCTGAACATTCAGGAACATCCACTAGAGGGTACCAGAGAATACTGATTTTGTTTTATTAGGACCATCATTTCCCAGAGGTACCATAAACACATGCCACTAAGAGGAAAATCATTATGCATAAGCAAAGATCCAATAATGCCAATGGGATCACCCATATTATGTAAGGTAAATCAGTGACTAAGAACCCCTTTGGAAATGTGGTTTAATATGATTCCCAAGGTAACTCAAAGTAAGAAAATATTCACCTGTGTTTCTGTATACAGAAGTGTTTAGGAACAGAAATCACAGTACCATGCTATGGAGGAGCAAAGCCTAACAGGACTGAGCCAATTTATGAATAGACTACAAACACAATAAAAGTGTATTTTTAAAGCCTCTCAAAAGTAAATGTTAGCAAGCAGCAGGTAAATATCAAAAACCCAAAGGAAACCCACATCAGCCCCAGTCTAACCATAACAGCTGCTTTTCATGTGCTCTGTTTCTTGTTTCCTATTACAGCAAAAAGTACACAAACCCCAGGTTTTGTTCTGAAAATAGTATTTCCATCTCAGAACTGCTGTCCTGTGCCAGGGCGTAAGAGCCAGAGCTAATAATGCAAAACTTGTGAAAAATGTGCAACAGTGAAGTGGAGACAGACTGCTTTTTAAAGGTTAAGCTTTATAAATGGCAGCAATATTTAGCACCTCCCAAGCATCTTCCATCTGCAGCTCAGAATGCTTGATAAACATTCATAAGTGAAGCCTTTTGAAGCCCTCACGCAAGAAAGATGTTTAACATGATCTCCAGCTGGAGGGAATTCGGACCTGAGCCAACTCCCTGTGTCTGACAGGGATGTTCTCCATCGGTCAGGGAATATGGCTCCACATAAGGTTTGTGCTACTTTGTCCCAAGATGTGTCCAGAGAAGGGCAGAGGAGCTGGGGAAGGGTGTGGGGCACAAATCTCAGCAGCTGAGGGAGCTCAGCTGGGAGACAAAGAGGGGGAACCTTGCTCTGCACAGCTCCATGGAAGGAGGTTGTAGGGTTGGCCTCTCCTCCCAAGTAACAAGCAGCAGGACAAAAGGAAATGCCCTCAAGTTGTGCCAGAAGAGGTTTAGATTAGATATTAGGAGAAATTTCTTAATTGAAAGGGTAGGTGGGCATTAGAAGAGGCTGCCCAGGAAAGTGGTGGAATAACCATCCCTGGAGGTGGTCAAAAAATGTATGGATGTGGCACCTGGGGACATGGTATGGTGGCGGCCTTGGCAGTGCTGGGTTAAGGGTTGGAGTCGATGATCTTGGAGGTCTTTTCCAACCTAAACTATTTTGTGATTCTGTATACAATGCTCTCCCCCTGGGCTATATCTTGGCACAGAAGCTTTGCTAAATCAACCACATAGAGCCTGAAGAAAAGCTCCAGACTACCCCCATTGTGATCAGCCTTGCTGACATGAAGCCCAGGTGGCTGAAATCTCACTGTGGCTGGTTTGGTACTTGTGTTTCTGACACACATTTGCTGCCTTTGAGCTTCTTTCTAAGGAATGTGATCAATGCCCAGAATGCCTGGAACTCCATCTCTGCCTATTTCCCTCATCCTGAAACAAACTGCAGAATCTCCAAAAGTCCAAGGAGAGAAAGAAAGGGCCCAATGTTGCACATTTCATCCACCCATCCATCCACCCACCCACCCACCCATCCACCCATCCACCCATCTTTTCACCATTACAAGCTATTTTGGTGCTCTTTGTGCAGCACTACAAACACTACAGGTCTTCCTGATACCTTTGAGGATCCAATGAGGAAATTCAGCCATTGATGATCTCAGTGGGAATGTATACACAGTTCAGGGCAAGAATTTCCCGTCCTTTCTTTTCAGACAGCATGTGAAATCTCTGACTCTCCCTCTCCAGCTAGGAAGCCTCTTTCCTTATTGAGGCACTCACTGAAATGTTACTACAAACCTCAGTGGAATCAGTGAAAAGACTCCAAGTGGCTTTCACAGCCTTTGGATGAAGCCCTGATCAGGCACTCTGTTCCCTGTGGTGCTTTGGGTTATTGTGTAGAGAGAGAAGAGTTGATTCATGACTCACTGACTCATGGCTGTGGTGTCTGGGCACACACTGAGGCCATTACATCACACCCAGAGCCTTCAGCCCTCCACCAGAGCAGCAGACATTCCCTGGCTGTGCACAGCCACAAGCATCTGTCCCACTCAAAGAGCCTGGGAGGAACACGCCTGAAAGCACAGCAGGGTGGTGGCCAGTGTGTCAGCAGTGACCTGCCAGCTGGCCTGGCCCATGTCAGACTGTGTCCCTGCTCTTGGGGACCTCGTCACAACTGCACAAACTGTGGCCACAGGAGACACTTTGTGTGTGGAGAAACCAAACCATACCTTGGTGCCATCCAGAGGGTCCTTGTGGACAAATGCCTGCACAAACTCCTCAGGTCCAATGTGACTCAGTCTTTCCTGTTGAGGGTAGGGGAGTAGGAAGAGAGAGGGAAAAATAAGAAACCATCCCAGAATATCTTCTGTTTCTCTTGATAAATCTCTTGATAAAACAGCATCATTTTCTGTCAGCTCTGAGTGTAAGTGTCACTGAGCTGGTACACAGCCAACTAACTGGACATTAAAATTCATAACAACAATTAGAACTATGTCAGCAGAAAGATGAAAATTAGAATAAATACTGACAAGCCACAGTAAGAGTCCCCTCCACTGTGCTGAATGCACAGGGAGCCAGCAGACATCAGTTCTGTTTGGTGCTCCCTCAGACCTGCTGTGGTCCAGCATCACTCAAAAGCCAAATTGTTCCCCAGCTGTTCCAATGGCAGAAAATGCTGTTATCTGGAGTCCACAGCATCCCACTGCATCCCACAGCATCCCACTGCTCAGAGCCCACCCAGGGCTCTGCCCTGGCTCCTGCCACTGACCCTCAGCTGATGGCTCTGGGTCACTGGGGAAGGAAGGCACTGAGGATGGCATTAAAGGCTTTGCTTACACTGGTGAGTGTCCCAGGCACTAAGCAAAACAAGAATAAATAAAATATCCAAATCTCTCTCAGTAAAAGAGAGGCCACCTCCAGCAGCTGCTGAAAAAACATGGCAGCTCCAACAACACAACAACCTTCCTGCTAAGCTTTCCACTCTCCTTAAACGTGTTTGTTAGAAAAATAAATATTTTCAGTAGGTTGTAGGCCACAAAGGTGTTTCAGAGGAGTTATTTTGGAATTCTTACTTATTTTGGAGTCCAAACTTAGAATACTCAAGCAACAATAAAATAAATGGTAATTCTGGTCAAGGGAAAATTTTATGTCTAGCCCTATGCTTTCTCTCTGGGCCTCTCACCCAAATACTGATAACTGTATGTGGCTCTTACTAATCAATAACTGTTTTAAATAAGTATCAAATAATTCTTACTAACAAATAAGCATCAGACAGTTTCAGTGCAGAGCACTTGATGTATCAGATATAGCAATGAAAGAGAAGACAGAGAGAATTGATTAACGTACAGTGGAATTAAAAGCTCTAGCTGCATCTGTTTTAAAAAGGCAGTGATGCCTCAGTTACAGGGAATTTCCCCTTGGAAGACAGCTGCACTGTGGAAGAGGAAAAAAACCAAAAAAAAAAAAAAAAACAAAAGCAAGGAAAAACTCCATGCAAAAGGACTTCTACTCTCTGGTTTAAGTTACATAGAGCAACGAGAGCCAAAGCTGCATGTTCTGAAAACTATCCATTCCACTTCTTGACAAACAGAATATAAACTATCATCAGAAATGTGAATTTCTGATTTCCTACTACTCACTCCAATCCTCAGTGCATTTCATGTTTTGTTTTTCCACCCTTCCCCTGCAGGATGAGCAGAGGGAAGGAGGGCAGGCAGCACCAGAGCAAGGAGGGGTCTGCAGATGGCAGCAATGTTTTATGTCCTCTGTGCACATCCAGGAGCTCTGCGGGGAGCACCTGACCCTGGCAGAAGGGTGTGCAGCACAACCAAGGCTCCAGCACTGCAATTTTTCACATAAGAGCCTGTTTGGGAGCAGACTGCAGCACAGGGGGAACGGCAGGAATTTGTGGGAGTGGTGTCTGCACACCCTTATATGTCCATGCACAAAATCCCAAAGGGAAGAATGAAAGGCACATCAGACAACACACAGCTTTGTGTATCTGCAGAAATGGATGTGAACTGCTAAAATTTCTTCCAAATTTATAAAAGGCTTAATGACCAGCCTTTTATAAAGGTCATTTATAAATGACCAGCCATTTATAAAGGGTCATTTACAAATTACCATTTCAATAGCACCTGCAGAGTTTGTGAGGCTCTGAGCACCTTATAAAAGTGACATTCCTGGGACTTGACTTTGCTGGGATAGATTCTCATTTCACAAATAAGCAAGCTGAAGCACAGTGACCTGCTCTAAGCTGCACAGGGACACTGATATATAATTTTCTTCCCAAGCATCTCTTAACCTGTCAAACCCTGCCTCCTGCTGCAGTGCTGATACAGCATGCGATATGCTGCAGCAGTGCAGACATTTTTTGGTTATGTCTGGAATACTTAGCAGCTGATGGCTTAAAATAACATCTCTGGCTGCAGAGGTTGGGAACCATTCCCACTTACCAGCTCCACATGTGTCAGCTGCTGAGCCAGGGTGTAAGGATCACTGCAGACACTCAGGATTTCTCTCTGAATTGATGGAGGTTTAGTTTTAAAGGCAACCAGCTTATCAGAGACAGCAGTACTGATCTTGACAATCCCTTCTTGCCCATGGCTGAGGGTTGCAAGCTTCTGATTCAGGGCTTGCAAAAGCTGATTCATCTTTTTCCAGTAAGCCTGGAGAGACAGGGAGAGAAACATAAGCCACCCAGCAAACTTGACATTGGAGTGGGTTTTTGTGCTGAATTTTCCTTTCTGCAAAATACTCCTAAGGCAGCAACAGGTTACCATTTTATTTCCAACAAGCCTATTTCAGAATAACCAGTTGGCTTAATTACAATTCTGTGCTCTGGACACAGAGACTGCAGTCAAGAGGAGAGGCAGGCAGGACTGGTGGGTTGGGCTGGCACTGAAACTCCAGATTGCTGCCAACATCAGGCTCGAAGGAGAGGCAATGCTACCACATGAGTTGCTGCAGCTTTCTGGAGCACAGAAGCTGTTGGTACCTATCTTTTATGTCAGCTGCATTTTGGCTGAGAACTCTACCTGTTAATGCTGCTTTGTCGCCTCTTATTTATTAGGAATAAGAAATGTTTCTAATGCTATTTTCTCCATCCTTTTGACCTGAATGCAGAAGGAGCTTGCAGCTGCTTGCTACCCAGCTGGAGTGGCTGGAGCATTTGTGTAGCTTTGAGTATTTAATATCCAAATGTTAATTGCTACTGAAGGAAGCTCATATTGTATTCCAAGCACAGCCATGTGCTCAGCAGGATCATCATTACCAACCTGCCCAGGTTGTTCTCAGAGCTGGAGCAACTCTTTACAGACAATGAGTGGAGTCTCTGCCCATGGAGGATGGGCAGAAGGAAATTACTTCAACTGTTCATGACTGACAGATGCAGACATCACAAAACTGAGATAACAGAACTGCTGGGTGGCTTTAAGGGTAAGGTTAATTGGAAATGTCCTTGGCTAGGCTGTGCCTCACCACAAAGAGCAGCACACACCTGTGTCCCAAGCTGGATGCAGCTCAAGTGAGCCTTTGGGAAGTCATCCCATGGTTTGGATCCAGCCCTTGTGTTCAGAGTTTTGTAGGCTGTGGATAGTCTTCAGTGTTAGGCATTGACAGCATTTACATTTTAAGTGATTCACATTTCAAGGGACCAGAAACCAGAGGCAGTGCTCTTCTCAGCTGCACAGAATCCAATCTGCACATTGGAGATAGCACCTCCTCCTACTTCACAGTGAAGAATAACTTCTCACATCTACTCTGTCTTCATGACAGGGTAGGAAAGGCTGGAGACCTTTAGAACATCCAAAGTGCTTCAACTTCTGCCAGACTTCATTACTTTGGTGCAGCTTTTCTAACAAAAGGTCTCACACTGCTCTCTTGGACTCACACTGCTCTCCTTTCACTTAAGGAAGATGCTCCCTTGAGCTGGGCTAGAACATGCACCAGATGAGCAGGATAAGTCAGGCTCTTTTTTATAAAACAGCTGTTAAGTCTGAAATGAAGCAAGTACCCAGAAGGCAGGAGGGACAATGACAACACACAATGTGTTTGGAATCAAATCTCAAAGGTGATGTAAAAATTGCCTGAGGAAAACCCCACTCCTTCAGTTTTTATCTCTTACTGATGTATATTAGCTCCAAGAAAGGCCTTCTTCATGTAAATCCTCTTGTCAACAGATGGTCACATTTTTGATTAACAAAGACTGTTCTGGACCCAAACTACTGGCCACCACCTAAATATTTCTCTGTTTCACATCCAGGTGTGTTTGCAAATCTCTACACAGCTTTTTAAGCTCTGTGAACACAGTGGGATTTTTTACTGAAAACTCAAATATCTGACATTTCTAGCATTTTGTGAACTTATTTTGTAAATGGGAAACTCAGTTTTTTGGGAGTGGGGGACAGCACTGAAAGCCAAACCTTCTAATGAATAAAAAACATCTGGCTAAAAGACTTGGCTGGAAACACAGCTCCTCTTTCTAAAAGGAGTTTGGATGAAAAATCTTGGACCAGCCATGTCTATGCAGTATCAAATTCTTCATAGTTTGGACAAAAAGCTGCATAAAATTGCTTGAAACTGCATTTCAATAAATCTTTATCAAGAGATCTAGTTTCACCTCATTTTGTAGGGAATATGGCACAAAAAAATAGATACAGACAACAGTAAAGAAAGACTCAGGTAAGCCAACCACATAATAAAGAATGAAAAAAGAGAGACACACTGAAAGGACACAAACAATTACACAGAAATCAGAGCTCTTGAAGAGACTCACTGGAAATCAGTTGGGTGCACCCTTGCTTAGAAAGCTTTTCTGTGCATATTGAGAGAGAAATTAATTTTTTTTTTTTAAAAAATCCTGCTTTTGCCTTTCTAAAAGCCTTTCCTGCCTTCTTTAAACTACATCCACTAACTGAAAACAACATTGTTCATTACCTTCAACGTGCTGGTAATTATCTTGCCACAAAGTGACCCCCCACTGTACAGGGGCTGCATGCTGGACTTATCAACCAATTTCACTTCCCTGCCACATTAACAGTCAAAAGAAGCACACTACTGTTTAATATTTAAAGAAAATGTTTCGTTCTTAACTAGGAAAGTTCCTCTGAAGACAGCAGGCCTCAGCAGGTGGCTTAGGAGCTCAAATTTTAATTAAAATTTCTAACTCTAAATGCAAATCACAGCACTTACTAAGAAATGCTTCTCAGCATGGACACCTTTATAAGCACATCACTGCCTTTAGAAAGTGGACTCTACAAAGAACAGGAGCAGACACTGCAGGGGAAAATCCTGCACTGACCTACATGGACTGGATGACATCACAAATCTTTCAGTCTTTAACTTCTGTGGTTCACAATAGGAGCAAGTTCCTTCCAAAAAACTAATGGTCACCATCACTGTTCTGTGCTGTCCCTTAAAGGAAATTTGCATTTGGAGGATATGAGCTGTTTCTTAAATTAATTATTGATCTTGCTCAGGCATAATCACTTGCAATTACAGTGCCTAGTAATATCTGAAAAACAGTGATTTGAAACTAATGTAGTCTGAGGCCCCCCAGGGCACCCACAAGGATTTGTACACAGCTGTGCACGCTCCAGAGCAAAGGTGGGCACTGCCTGCTCAGGTTAGGCAAATAAACCCCTGCTTTGCATGCAGAAAGTTCATTTATAGCATTTGTGATTCTTCACCAGGGCAACTACTGCTGTTAAAGAGCACAAGCTAAGTCCCTGCTCTCCACCCTTTGGTGGACACAAACTGTGGACACAGTTCTGGAGGGTCTGCATGGGTTTCCCTCACTCCTGATGCTGAAGGGCTGCAAGGCATCTTTTGCTGTGGCTGGCCAGGAGCACGTCCATTGCCTCTTTCCCTTGAGGGAATTCTACTACTCTGCTTAATGGAACTACAGCCACTTTGGCTCCTTCTGAGTTTTTTTGTTGCCTTGACCTCCACCATGTCTCACAGCTTCCCTGTCCTACCCCTTCTCTCCCAGCCCAGGCAGTCAATCCATGCCAGCCTACAGCTCCCTGGAAGTGCCAGACTTGCTGCCAGCCCAGCCCAAGAGCAGCTGTTTCCATTCATATTTCATGTGCATGGGAGAGCCCAATTTCATTTCTGCTGTGCTGCAGCCCTGCTAATTCCTTCTGTCCTCTCTCCCCCTTTCTCTCTCTCATCCTCATGGGTAAGTTCTTGTTGTTCTGCTGGACTGCACCCCTCTGTGGCCTGAGGCCAGGCCTTCATGTAGCCAGTGGAACTGAATTTTTCCACATCCCACAGTTAACCTAGCAGTAATTAGAGACTCTCAGTGTACTATTTGCTTATTATTTTCATGAATTTTGTGGTCTTTTTAATGTTTCTGAATTAATTTACGGGGTTCACCCACCTGAATTTGCCTCTCCCAGAGGCTCCATTCACTGTGGCCCACTGTGCCACACACAGAGCTCACATATTGAACCCAGGATCATACAGACCTCTAGCCTGAGTCTGTGCTCAGCAGGCCACACACTGCTGTCTGCTGCCACCTCCATGCTCCCAGACAAGCTACGTGTCACTAATATTAGTATTTTCTTGAAATATAAGAACTTGGATGCGGAGAAGTGGTGGATGTCCCACCCTTGGAAGTGTTCAAGGCCAGGTTGAACAGGGCTTGAAGCCATCTGGTCCAGAGGAAGGTGTCCCTTCCAGGCAGGCATGTGGAACAAGGTGGTCTTTAGGGTCCCTTCCAACCCAAAGCAGTCTGTGATTCTATGATTGGACCTTGGGAGATCACAGCTCTGCTGCTGTTTGAATTGTCACCAGCACATTCAGTCTATGCTATGCCTTCACATATTCCTTCTATAAAATGGGAATGCTGCTATCCTACAATTACATGTGCAGGAGATAAATTCCAATGCTTGCTGAGATGTGCTGTCAGGAAAGATGCTACAGGTTTTTACATTATTGGAAAAAGAACCTCTGGGAGCATTCAGAAAGAGGCACGGAACAAAATGCAGAAAAAAGAGCAAAAGGAGGAACCAAGTGGGAAAATGAACTCAATGTTTCAGCAGAAGATCCCAAGTTAGGCATCCTCACCTCATCACATGGGGCTATCCTGTGAATCATGTCCTTGAGATGGCCAATCATCCGCTCCTCCTGAAAGTCATACGGGAATGTCTCTGTCCACTCTGTCAGCAACTGCAAGATTTTGGGTCCAAATTTCCTGATTCGAGCCTGAAATGCAAACCATTGAATGATGGACAGGAACTGAAACATGTTTACTCATTACAGCCTCTCACTGTGTGTGTCACTGAATGTGGGGCCAGGTTTTCAAAGAAGGCATTTGTGTTGCACCTGTAAAACCTGCACACATGCATTCAGAGTGTGGTGCACAAATTGGCATGCAAAATGTACCAGAACTCAGGTGCATGCACAACTGCCTGTTTTACACGCAGATTTAAGTATTCTGCACATGCAATTGGCCTGTTTAAGGTTGGATGGACATTTTGTTGGTGCAACCTTGATACCTTTTTAAAAACATCTGGCCTTTTTGCTGAGTTGAACCATTTGTTCTTCCCTTTTGTACTTACAACCCTTCTATATTTTCATCTTTCTCTGAAAAACTGCATTGCATTTCTTGACCATCAAAGAGGTTTTTTTTGCTCCTTTTCTTTCTGGCAGTATGAAAAAACTGCTTAGTGACCAGTGGCAGATGCACAATGAAGAAAAAGATGAACAGAACAGCAGCACTTCTGTAACTTTACCTGGGCTGCTGGTAATGTTGCTCTCTTCCCACATGAGCTCAAGGTCATGATGGGACAAGGACACTCACACAGCATACAGCTGATGCCCAGTTCTGGTGGAGATTTATCTGAGGATTGGGATGGGGCAAGGAGGGAAATGCAGGGAATGGCACAACTGGTGCATCAGTGTAGTCTCAAAAGACAGCCAGTGTGGCTGCTCCCAAAGCTTTCATCCTCCATTATGTGAAAAGGAAATGGTGTTAAAAAACAAACTGCATTTTTATTTACAGAAAACACAGACTGAAACAAACAGCCTTCTTCTGCATCCCCACGTACTGCAGCTGAAGTGTACCCTGTAATCAGGAAAAATTATACTCTTAAGCTCCCTGGCTCTTTGTTTTTCAACCAAGGTGGTCAAAATGCATATTTCAGCTTTCCACCAACAACAGGTTTCAATGAACCACATCTCTAAAAATAACTGCTGTCAGCTAGCATTAAGCTCAGGCTCAAAGACCAGCAGGTGGCTGCTGAAGGGAAAGCTTTATTGGAAACTACAAAGGTCTGGGGAGACATTTGCTCCAGCTGTGTAAACTGCATTATGAATTGATGGAGAGGACTTTGTGCAAGTCAAAGGACATGGGATGGCAGCTTGCTTGTGTACAAAGTTTCAAAATCAGCCCCACTTTCAGGAGCACAAAATCAGCTGTGTCCCACCAGCCCTATATTGCTACAACACCCAGATGAACTTCAGACAGATAAGTCTTCATAATAAGACATTGTTTTTAATTTCTTATAAGTTTAATGAGCAGCAAAATTTTGCAATGCTGACATTTAATCCTCCTAAACTTGTATCTGTCATAGAACTGGAGAACAGAACCTCACACCTTAGAAAACTTGTTTTTCATGGTTCACCCCATACAGATATTTCTATTGACTCTGACTGTATGGGTAACCCAAGTCTGGGATTGCTGAGCATTCTGGAGAATGGCTCTGCACAGTGAAGGCAGAGCTCCTGCTACAGCTGCCTATGCAAAAACAAGAACAGATGTTGGTGACTCAGTATTTGATGCCAAACTCACAGTTTCAAAGCTGGAAAGCCTGATCCTGAAAACCATTTCAGAATTTCTGGAAATTTCCAACAAATGCATGTTCTATCCCTCTCCACTGCTCTGAAGGTGCATCTCCTGCTCCAGACAACACACCAACCAAGTGTTCACCAATGCAGCAAGGAGAGCTTGGGCAGAACCCAGCACAGCATCCAGTGGGACCCAACACCTCTGCTCTGTCTGTGGCACTGCCAGAGGATCACATGTGTTCCCATACACTGTACCAGGCTGCACAGTCCCTGGGGCAAAGTGGGGACAGTGCTGAGGCAGGAACAGCTTGGATTTTCTCATTCTGTTCACCTGTGAGGGCCCCAGAGCTGCTCCTGCCCATTCCTGGTGCCCCACTGGTGCTCTGAGGGCACAGGGCAGGAGGGTGGTGGGCACCTGCCCCTGTTACATGGTGCTCAAAGTGACAGGGAAGGCCAAGGGGAAATATCACTGTACCAGGAGCAAGAAAGCAAAGGGGCAGGGACATTAAGTAAAAATGGGAGAGAGAGTGGTGTGTGGACATCTGCACTGGACAGTGTGTGAGGGTTACGTCCTACCTCCTTGCATCCTGCAGGCTTCCCCAGAGCCTTAAAGAAGTTAAGAAGGGAAGTCACCTGGGAAGACTGAGACAGGGGGAAAGGGAAAATTAGAAGAAGATTTGAAGTGACTACTGCCTGAAGCATTGCTCTCAGCCATGGATACCAGGATGCCTCAATGGCAGGATCTCAGTGCAAATCCTTTATGAGACAGATTCATTCAATCTGAAGAGAGGCAAGGGACACACAGCAGAGCCCCAGAATCCTCTCCCCACTGACAACACCTCACATTTCTCTGCTGTAAGCATAAACTAACCTTGTCCAGCACAGGGTCATCCAGGCGCTGCTGCTCGATGCACTTGTGACAAACCCGGGACAAAAGCTCATGGGGTTCAATGAAGAGTCTGGAACTCAGCAGGAATGTAAAGATGTAGGCTTTCTGCAGGAGAAAGACAAGTAAACCTAATGCAAGCAGCCACACAGTGGGTAATATTGACTGTAAAAGTCTGAACTTGACAGCTTTTTCATTTCTGCCTGGCAAGACCTTTATGAACTAAAAGACATAACAATTCCTGACCCTGGAACTGGTTACACTGGGCACAGGAGCAGCAGCATCTCCTTCCTCCACAGCATCCACTTCCAGCCCTTGGTTGCCTAAACTCTGGGCAAACATCCAGTGAAGAGAACAAACAGGAGCAAGCCCAGGCACAGGAGACAGCCCAGCCAGGATGCTGGAGACAGTACAGCTAAATGGGCAGGAATCTCTGTGTTGTACTGGGTTGGGAGCTGCAGGCACCCCCATGTCAGCCACATCTTGCTGACATTGCCCTGCAGATATCACGCAGCCTATTTTCAGCAATATTTCATTTATTCTATTAACTCCCCAAATTTCATTTCTATCAGCCAAGTCATATCATATGCAGTTCCACATCTGTGAAGCTGTGGGAAGCAGGTCTGCTGGACAAATCCTTGGATTATTCAAATTATTCCAGCAGTGAATTTAAAAGACATGCATGAAGTCTCAGTTGTTGCATCCTGACCCCTCCTTGCATCCTTGCACCTGAATTATCTCTTTTCCCCCAGCCCCAGCCATGCTCCCAAGCAGCAGGTATAATATTACATATCATGCATTGCCTAATGAAAATCTCACAGCCTGATCTGCCCATTACCGATTTTTATTGCCTTTCTGTTCCTTTTTTTTTTTTTTAATTGAGATGCTTCTTTATTACTTATTTTTAGCTGATCAGAAACTGAGCTCCGGGTAATTTAAAACACGCTGCCTGCTCTGCATTGATAACTTTCCCAGTCTCCTCAAGTACCCAGAAGTCAGTGTTCCTCTGTGCTTTGAAATACAAGCCATGGAGATATATTAGCACTTAAAAGTCTTCCAGTCAAATTCTGTCTGAATTCCACTGAGGATATCTGAATTCCACTGAAAATCCAGTGAAGTCAATAGCTTGCAGGACCATAAACCTGCTTCCAGTTTAGATCCTCACACTCTTGGTGAGAAAACACTTAATTTCCACTGATGGAGCAACGATTAGGATCTGGATTATGCTGTCCAGTGACTGCAAAGCTGTGAATATAATACAGATAAATTACAAACCCACCAGAAGAAGCATCTCTGTCATCACCATGGGAATGCTCTGTACATACAGGCAAACCTGGTGACTTCAGCAGCCACTGAAACTCAGCTAATTTAATGCCAGTTCAGACTTGGGAGCTTTTTGCTTCAGTTTTCCTCTAAACCTCTCTGGGAAGCGCTGCTATTTTTGAAAAGCTCCAACTGCTACATCACTAATTCATCACCACGACAGCTCCCCCCAACCCTGTTCTCTTATTTAAAGGCAGTATCATCTCTGGGATCTGCTTCTTCATGGGAACAATTACAGAGCAGTGAAACAGCATTTAAAGCAATGCATCAATTTACCAAGCTTTAATTGTATGCAGCTTTTAAATGAGCCTTCTTAATTCAAAATTTAACACATTTGCACTTTTGCATAATGTGCTGCCCCAATTCATCAAAATTAAACCATTTATTTTACTGTGAATTGCTTACTTCAGGGTAGTAATCAGTGGTAGGTATCAGATGCTGGATTAGAGCATCCAGAGATGCTGAGGTAAGGTTTCCATCCTGGAAGATCAGTCCTCCTTGTTCACCTTCTTTTGAAGTATGTAGATGAGGGCTGAAGCCACATGGGGTAAACATACTGGTAGAACTCAGTGTTTGGGGCATGCCTTCCTGCAAGAGAGACAGGGACAAAATCCATCAGATCCACAGCTACATTTGTCTTCTGGCTAATTTGAACAGCACAGCCACTAATGAGATCTCCCTGTGCACAAAATTGACACGATCCCTTCTTGATAACCTCCGCGTCTCTCTCATTGCTGGCACTGGCAGATGCATGGGCAGAACACAGAAAATGGAACATTGTGATTTATGCTTTCGGGCCAGAAAGTGATGGCAGCTACTTTGGGCTCTTCCCCAGCCAAGAGTGGCTGTGATGATTCCCTCTTCACTGATATCTCTGGGCAGGCCCACACAGGAGAGGGGAGATACTTGGGACAGACCTCAGCAGTTCCTGAACAGGATGAAGCAGTTTGTTTGAACCTCTGCCCCCCTGAGAACGAGGCAGGGAGAATTTAGGGTGTGAGGGAGAGAAAAGGGGTGCCACACAGAGCTTGCTTGGGATTGGAGCCCTGTGGCTGCCATGGGACAGCAGAGGTGTCACAGTGAGCGAGGAGACGGGAGCAGGAGTCAGCTGGGGGAGGATGGAACAGGGAAGGGAGTTGGAGGAAACAGAGAATGTGGGAGCTGATGAGGAGATTAAATAGCAAGGGAAAGAGAAATGAGGAAGAGTGAGAAGGCAGACACCTGAGCTATATTTGGAGCCCAAAGTTAGTCAGTCCTAGATCTATACTTAGGTACTAAATAAATGTTTCAAAGAAGTCCTGAGCACTCATCGCTTTCACTGGAGCTGCTCGGTCCTCAGCACTTCTGAAAAGGAGGCCAGGCAGACTCTGAGCACACAGCCCACATTCAAATCCCTATATTTCAGTTATCTGGGTTTTTCAGGTTGCATTCTAGGTTTCATCTTGATTTTGTGGTTTACAATCAGCTTTGAATGTTCCTCTTGTTGAGCAAAGTTGTTTTGTTTTTGAATTGCTGCAGAGGGATGAGAGATTTTGCCCTGAGAGCTTTAAAGCATCCCCAGCTGCCTCTGAAATCCCTCCTGGAAGCTGCTCCTCTCTCAGCAAGAGGCAGCATTATAGAACATGGATGGGAAAAGAACAGTGTGTGCTCCCTTCCAGGTCTGCAAATGCATCACCCAGAGCAAGGGACCCCTCTGTGACATGACTATTTGTTTTCATGTTTGATTTTACCTCCTAAAAGGGAGGATAGGAAAGAGATAAGAGAGGAGCACCAGAGCCAAGCAAGATCTGAGCCCTGCTGAGCCAGCAGAGATCTCCCATGGCAGAAGGGCCAGGTGACAGCACTGCCAGGGCTCAGCACACACAGCCAGCACACTCACCTTGGGCTTTAACACATTCCTCTGCCCTTTTCTGTATTCTGCTCCCTCTGCTTTTCTGCCTCTTTACTATCCCATACTATTTTTCAAAAGCTGACCCATGGATTTGGTTTAGAATTTGGAGTTTGCCTTTCTCCCCCGTGGATATAAGCAGCTGTGCTGTGACCCAGGCAGGCAGCTCAGCCTCAGCTCCAGGTACAGCTTGGTGAGGTCTCTCCTGCAAAAACCCTTCCCTGCCTGGCACAGCCCATCTGCTCCCCCTGCTCAGGGCCACCAAGGAGCAGGGAATCATTGCTGTGAGCCTGGGAGAGGCTGGGAGCCGAGTCCCAGCTCCGTGGGAGATCAGGCTCTACAAGCAGAACTTGGGTGACTTCATCCTTCAAAGGGGGGAGCGTCCCCTGGAGCCAGCAGCTCCATCCCTTATCTCCTCCTGGGAGCCTCGCACAGGCTGCCTCTGGGATTTGCAACCAACAAAAAGGAACCAAAATGTCAAACCTGACCAATTCCTGCCCTGACTGGAAAATAAACTAGATGCTGGATTTTAGTTTAAGGACCAGAACATGTAAATGCCATCCCAGGCAGGATGGAAGTTGAAGCATCCAGTTCTAATGAATGTGCAGATGTGCCTGTTAATGAAGCTGTGAGAGCAAGTAACTGCTGCTTTTTGTGGCTCAGACTCTGTGCCGTAAATGGGAAGGACTGCCAAATCCCATTTGTTACTTCTAACACTCTCTGTGTTATGGCTTGTTTCTATGGCAATAATCCCAAGAAGGATTTCATGTCCACATAGATCAAGAAATAAATCTCATGGACATACAGCTGTCTAGATGAGGAAAAGAAAAAGTTAGAACAGCTGTGAACTTACAGGACACATCCTAGCTGCAGCATAAAACAGAACTCACAACTAATGATTTATTCAGTGCAATCTCTCACTGTCAATGCCATTTTTATTATCAGATAGAAACCATCTAAACAGGATATTGCCTGAACTTCTGCATATTATTAAATGAGAAATCTTGCTGAAATACATGGTAATGCTTTTTAAGTAAAAGTACATTTTTAAAAAGGAAATAAAACAGCTGTACAACTGTCACTGAGACATCTGTCTTGGGTATTGTCAAGAAATTAAATTTGACTTATTTATTATGAAGTTCCTGAGTAACCTCAAGTTTTCAGGCAAGGCCTGTGTCATACCTGAGCTGGTGCATGATTGCCACCAAAGAAAACTTGAAGGTTTTAACAGATGCCTTTTGCTCCCTTTTATGTTACATTCACAGCAGGATGAGGCCAGCTGTACAAAGGATAAAAGCCTCTTGCACCACTAAGCTCAAAAATAACCAACATTAGCATTTGGTAGACATGAATTCAGGACAGGGACTTTACTGCCTAATTCCTTTTTCTGTTCATACATTTCCAGAGTTCTCTTTTCAAGAGTGCTAAATAGAAACAAGATCTTTCTTTGAAAGAGCCCAAATACACAGACAAGGCTCTGCTGTCAGTCACTCACAGAACACAGAAACAAGGGAAGCACTGGGAGGAAAACAAACAAGCAAACAACCAAGGATATTTGTCTCATTGAGCTCTTTGGATGATGGAAAAGGCAGCACAGGCAGAGGCAGCCCCTGCCCTGAATGGCAGGGACAGGGTGAGAGGCAGCACTGCCAGGCTGCAGCAGAGAAATTCCAGCTGAAGAGAAAAAGAAAATCACCCCCTGAGCACTGTGGAAGAGGGGCCTGGAAAGGATGTTCAATTTCCACCCTGGGAGGTCTTCAAAACCCAACTAGACAAGACTCTGAGCAAAATTCAAGCCCTGCTTCAAGTGGGAGCTTGGACTGATGAGTGCAAGAGGTTGACATTTCCATTCAAGTATTGCCCCATTTCTGAGATTTTTAATATAAACCCTGGCAAAATTGAGTCCAGAATATTAGATATTTGTAAAGAAGTCTAACTTGGCTAAAAAAAGGTTTTTCTGCTTTTCCTAGAAACAACAGCTCAAATGTGGTAAAAATGACTCAAAACCTCACTTGAAAACCTCTCCGACTTAACCTGAAGTCAATGAGATTTAAGCATGTGATTCAGCAGGTGCTTCCATGAACTTTCATCCAATTCAACACACAATGTTTTGCTGTTCCTCTCATTTCAGAAGCAAATCTGATGCCAATTTCAGTTGATAAATGGTGCTCTGGAGGAAGTGAGATGGTGAGATGTTAGTGAAGGGCAAACTTCCACCCCCAACACGCAAAATGACTGATGATACATGTGGCTGCACACACACAGCATTTAAACTACCTCTGTGCTCTGAAGGGCTGGCACCAGGAGATAGGAAAGTGTTTCTGCACTGGCTAACAAAGCAAAAAGAAAACCCAGGGGCAGACTGTTTCTGGGACTGTCTCTGTTACACAGAACCTCCCATGTGGAGGAAGGCAGGGCATGGGCCTCCTTCCTTGCCTACAGGAAAACAAGGTGATAAATTGGAAGCAAAGGCAGACTGGACTCAGCACTACCTGGAAAAGGAACACCAAATGCTGCTGGGCTGGGCTGGCAACATTTTGTGTTAATTTTACCAAAATGTTATATCCACCACCAGTGGCCATAGCAATCACATCACCATTTTAAAAATAATGGCAACATTCACCTTTTTATCTTCCTCCACCAGACAGCACCACCCAGTATTTCAACACAGCGATAGAAAAAGACACCTCACTAGAAATGATGCTGCTTACCCAAAATATTTCAGGACTTGATTCACTGAGCTAAAGCATGGAACCAAAGGATCACCAGTGCTTGGGACAAAAATTACCCACAAATTCTGCACCTATCTACATCTCCAAGTGCCTTGAAATCTGTGGAAAACCTGATGGAAACTGTGGAGAAGTGCCCAGACCTGGAAGACTGAGGAGCTCAAAGAAGTGTCCTAAGCATGCACTGATGTGCAGCAGGAGAGGTCCAAGGTGCCAGAGGATGGCTGCAGGCTGCAGCTCTGCCTCCCTGGGCCAGGCAGGTGACCTGCAGCACAGCCACGAGGGTAAATACCCCCCAGCATCCCCCAGCTCCACCCCTGGCTGACACAAGTGTCCCCATGGCAAGTGCAGCTAATGCTTACGTGGACACGAAATGTTCAGGAAACATTTAATGTGGTTTTCAGCGCCTTTGATGTGATAAGTGTTTTATCCTTTATCAAAAACCTAATCGCACTGTTTACTTTTGATCTTCATTTCATCTCTGCCTTCCATCTGCTGTGCCTCTCTCAAGGGGAAACAAGAGTTGGTACCATGTGACGAAGGGAACGGGGCTGCCGACTTATCTTCCTTCCCACCCACTTAACTTCTGGATTAACCAAATCAATAAAAGCCTTCCCACTCCAGGGATGAAAGGCACAGGGTTCTGACAATCTCCCAGCAGAACTACAGGAGCTAGAGAGGGTGGTGAGGGGAGGTGTGGAGGCTCATCTGTGCCATGAGTGAGGCTCCAGTGTCACTCGAGCAAGTGTCACTCCAGTGTCACTCGAGCACGTCAGCATTCAGGGGGCAGGGGACACACCAAGGGTATGGGAGACCCAAGTGAAGCATTCATTTGGCAAGGCACAGACTTTAACAGACATACCTAATCCAGAGTGAGTTGGGAATCAAGATAGAAGACATATCCCATCCCATCTCAATCCTGCAGAAGTCTTTTCTGATCAAACAATCACCAAAACCATGACTAAAGGAAG